AATTGGTGAAGAGTTTCTCAAGGCTTCCCAGGGAAGGGAATCCATTTGGGAATGGTGGCAGCAGACCAGATCTAAGCTGGTAGTTAAGCTTAGAAGTCTTCATGCAGGCCCCCACATTTGTACCCTAAAGTTCAGAGTGGGGAAGCAGCCTTGACACACGTATCAGGCACATGGGTTTGAAATGCTTAAAAACAGACCACAATACAATAGCCTGGGCTTTCATTTACACAAAGACCACTTTACACCACTCTAGCAATGTAAAGAGGCCTTAATGTGAGTATAAGTGTTATTTATGGCCACTTTAAGGCCCCTTTCCACTGACAGAACGGTTTAAAGGACCTTAGTATAGTTGAGGATCTGACCTGAATCTTGGACTGATTCTTATCCTGGAGAAGAACGCTCACTCCCACTGTAAAAGATAAGGAATAAAGAAGAGTGGGGAGGTGGTCTGGTGATCCCCCTGAGTTCTCTGTTGGAGACAACTGTTTAGCAGAATCAGACAGGTCTTCATAGCTTAGGAGCCTGTCTACCTTATAGTGAAGATAGTTTCCAGGACAGTGAATGTTATGAAAGGATATGGATAATCTGGGTAAAAAAAAAAATGAATAAGATGGGCACCAGGATACATTGCTCAGAAAAGTGATGTATTAACAGGAGCAACTCAAGACATCTTCCCCTCACACAGAAAAACATCCCTGATGTCTGAAAAGGAGCCATATATATTCAGAGAAGAAACACAAACCTCGCCCATCAGGAAATGTTTAGTAGCCCACACATTGATCAGGAAGATCCTCGGAATAACCAGTAGGGCCCTACCAAATTCGTGGCCAGGAAAAACATGTCACGGACCATGAAATCTGGTCTTCTGTGTGCTTTTAGACTATACTATACGGATTTCATGGGGAATACCAGGGTTTCTCAAATTGGGGGTCCTGACCCAAAAGGAGGTTGCAGGGGGTTCGCAAGGTTATTTGGGGGGGGGAACGGGGGTCCACTGTAGTGTCACCCTTACTTCTGCACTGCCTTCAGAGCTGGGCAACCAGAGAGCAGCGGCTGTTGGCCGGGCGCCCAGTTCTGAAGGCAGTGCCCCGCCAGCAGCAGCACAGAAGTAAGGGTGGCAATACCATAGCATGCCATCCTCACTTCTGCACTGCCTTCAGAGCTGGATGGCAGCAGAATGGCGGCTGCTGACTGAGGGCCCAGCTCTGCAGGCAGCAGCGCAGAAGTAAGTGTGGCAATACCATACAATGCCATCCTCACTTCTGCGCTGCTTCTGGCAGCAGCTCTGCCTTCAGAGCTGGGATCCCAGCCAGCCGCCGCTGCTCTCCAGCCGCCCAGCTCTGAAGGCAGCACCGCCACCAGCCAGGGCCGATGAAAGTGGGGGGAAGCCGGTACAAATTACCGGGGTCCGGCAGTCTGGAAGGAGGCCCGGGGCCTGGCTTCCCATGCCTCGTCGCCTTACCGGGGCCCGGCGGTCTGGAAGGGGGCCCAGCTTCCCCCCCTCGTCAGCCCTGTTTAGCCAGTCCACCCTTGCTGGGGGGGCCCGAACTCGCTCTCGGCGGCCCTGCCACCATCAGCAGTGCAGAAGTAAGGGTAGCAGTACCACAACCCCCCTGCACAATAACCTTGTAACCCCCCCTCCCCCCCCCCCAAACTCCTTTTTGGGTCAAGACTCCTACAATTACAACACCATGAAATTAGCTGAAATCATGAAATTTCATATTATTTTTAAAATCCTAGGAACATGAAATTGACCAAAATGGACCGTGAATTTGGTAGGGCCCTAATAATGAGGCCATTAATCTGTTTCTGCTTACTGCGCCTGGTTCAGAGTCTATGGTCTTGAGGTCTTCAGATTCTTATGGTAGAGTGATTTTAGATTGCTAATTCCTGGGTGGGATGAGAAAGTAACTTGTGAGAATCATGGAGCAGCAAACTGAACTGTGCTAAACTTTGCCACAAAATCCAGACACACTCATTGCACTACACCGGATTTGGGGTTTTGATAAAAATAAACTCAAAACTCAACCTGTTTGTCAAAAGTTCTCCTCAGATTCAGAAAAACCTTCCAAGCATACTAGGGACTGATTTAAAATATTAACACAAAATGAAGTGTTTCATTTTAGTTTTGGGCTGGTTTTTTTTTTCTTCCTTCCCCATCGGATATTTGGGCTTCTTTCAAACCTGAAATGCAAAATGAAACTCTGAGGGTGCAACTCCATGTGAATCAGATGAAAAGGTTTGATAGAAACCAAAAAGAATCAAGTTCCATACAACTCCACAAACAAAAACACCCGGTTAAATTCCATGTCAACGTCCTTCCAGAGTCAGACAGAGAGCTGAAAAGAGTGAATGCTAAGTTGAGCAAATATAGCATTTTTTTCCCCCACTTTGCAAGTTCTCATGTTCTCACAAGACTTTG